CTGTTGTTCAGCATCTTAGCTGTGGAGGGCAGTGTTCACTGGCCCTCATATGTGGGATCCGAACCGGGGCCCTCTGGCATCCCAAGCGACTTCTTAACCATCGCGCCACTCGGCCGGCCCCTGATTGGCCTTTTTGAAGACACCAACCTGTGTGCGTGCTATCCACGCCAAACGAGTAACAATTATGCCGAAAGACATCCAGCTAGCTAGCACACCGCATACGTGGAGAACGTGCTAAAGAATCCACTATGATGGGAAACATTTCATTCTTTAAAAAAAAAAAGTTTTCTTCTTCCTGCTATTGGTAGCTATGAACATTAGATATTTCTTTCCCATGGGGTCTAGAGATATCTAAGTATGTGATGGCAAGTGGAAAAATAGGGGACAGAAATCAGGTATTGGCGGTTTTTCCCTTTTCATTTGTGTGTGAATTTTTACTATAAATGCAAGTCAAAATATTTCAGTGAACAAGTTCTAGCCGTTCAACTTTATAACAATTATAAATAAACCTGTTTAATTTCCCTGGACAATGCCAGCATTTGGACTTTTCTAAAACAAGTAAATTTCTTATTGGTGGCAACTAAAAAAAAAATGATATAATAGGAGGTGAGAGAAAGGACAAAAAGGGATTGAATAACCTTGTTTGAGAAGAGACAAACATGAGCACAGAAGGTGATAAAGTGACAAAAGATGCCTTCTCACAACCAGCACACTATCTTTATACAAGGACGATTCCTCTGACCCCCTGTTACAAAAGCAGATATTCTGACTAATTTTTTCCAAAGGCAGAGATAAACTTGTTTCTTTATAGCCGTGTTCTCCATACTTCAGCTTCCTGGTTGCCAAGCCTACGCATTCACAGCCCGTTCAGTGGTAGTCAGGAGTACTGCCTCAGGGCTGTGTTAGAAGATCCACTTCTCTCTGAAGAATGAGACCAGACATTTGTCATTTGTAGTCCCAATCTCTGTCTCTCTGAGCTGGCTTGTCAGAGAAACCACACACAGAGTCCCAGAAGGAGGAAGACTGGTCCAACTGAAGCCCTAGAATGTGTCTATGTGAAGAGAGAGAGAGAGAGAGAGAGAGAGAGAGAGAGAGAGAGAGAGAGAGAGAGAGAGNTTCACGTCCATGAAGTAGGAGTTGGGGCTCTGCACCAGGCGCTTCTTCTTGTGTTTCCTCTTCTCCTCTTCTGGAGAGGGATGAAGGAGATCCTTAGCGAGCTAGGGGAGGCAGAAACGCAGAGATTTAGACACCAACGGCGAAAACGGGGTGATGGACAACAGCCCCGACTGCCACACACCGGGGCGAGCTCGCCCCTCGCCGCCCCTGGCGTCTGCGCGGCTGGGCCGCCATCTTATCTCCTCTCCGCTCCCGTCTCTGCGGGGCCCCGCGGCCCCTGCAGTCCGCGTCCCAGGAAGTGCGGAGGGCAGACGGGGGCCCTCTGCGACCCACACCCTGCGTGAGGGGAGCGTGCGGGCACAGGAGCGAGAGCGCCGCCGAAACCTGCACCAAGGAACTCACAGGCATGTTCTCGTGGGGAGGTCGTCACCGCCGGAAAGGAGCGAAAGCGGAAATCCTGCGCCTTATATGCATCGCCCCGCAGGAAGTGACGCCTGGGCCCGCCGCCGCCATGCTGGGAAGGTCTCCCGCTCGGGCCGGCCGCCGCGGCGCGAGGAGGGCGCTGCCCGTTTCGGGAGGTCTCTCGATGGCAGTCGCGACACAGACGCGTGTGTCCCCGTGTCGCGACAATGAGCTTGCCGTCTTAAAAAGGACAGCATTTGCCCTCCATCACGGGATACATGGGCGCTTTTAAACCCCGTGCTGCACTTTGACAGTTGGAGCCTAATAAAGAGGAACTGCTGAGGAAAACAGCCAGACCCGGCGATGCCCGGGACTTTTTAGATTTTTCAATTGGTTTGGTTTGCCTGTTCTAAACAATTCAGAAATGTAAATATATAATAGCTCTCGTATCTCGCCCATCCCCAACCTTCTACTGGGGCTGTTAAATTTATTGTCTACTTCCCAATCCTTCCCTCTACTAATAATTACATCAGGTACTTACAGTGCTTACTAGGTGCTTTGTTCTGACTGCTTTACACATGTTAATCTCCACAACAACTCTATCAGGTTGATGACTATCATTACGCGCATTTTACAGATTAGGAAAGTGACGCACAGAGAAATTAAATACATTGTCCAAAGTACTACTAAACTTCCAAAACGTAAATTGTGCCGATTTACATCCCCACATCCTTTTATCCACGTTTTCACCAGCACTGCCTTCCCAAGATTTCTAAGCTTGGCAGCGCTGACACCCTTGACAGGAAAACTGAAGACTGAAGCATCACCTTCTACAATAATAACCAAAGGTTTAGAATGTCCATTTGCCGTAAAGGAGGAACGAAGATGACCCACATGGCATGGGGGTGGCGAGGCGGAGGGGGAGCGGGGGTGTCTGGTTAATTCCAAAGGAAAGGGGTAGGGCAACGCATGTGAGTTCTGGTCAGGGGTGTGCTAGTGAAAGTTTAACAAGGGCTCTGTGGAGGAAGGCGAGCCCTGATGTGCTGTCTTTGCTAATTTCAAATATCCCGAATGTGGCTGATTTGAAACTGCCAACGTGACATCGTTACACGGAGTTGGTAAGAGAGATGCACAGTCTGTTCTCATGAGCAGTTCATAAGAACTGGTTCCAGTATGTCAACTGTAATTGAAATTTAAAAAAAAAATTTTTTTTTAAGATTTTATTGGGGAATTGGGGGGAGGGGAACAGACAGGTAGACAAATTGCTGTTTTTGTTCTTCAGTCTAGTTGTGGAGGACGTGGCTTCACTGGCCCATATTGGTATGATCATTGTGCTCTTCCCAGGTGAGGCCAACGTTCGCTGGTCATTGGTCAGCCACTCCCAGCAGCTCCCAGCAGCTCCTGGCTGCTCACGCTGGCTGCCGGCCACACATGGTAACTTATGGCAAGGGGCTGCAGCCTACGCCTATGCCGGCGACTCACAGCAGCCCAGCTCCAGGTCAAGCTGTTGTTCACCATCTTAGCTGTAGAGGGCGCAGCGTCACTGGCCCTCAATGTGGGATCCGAACCACAGCTCTGCTGCTCAGAGCTGGTGCTCCCAAGAGAGATCTTAAGCAGCTGAGCCATTGGGCTGGCCCCCCAAAATTTTTTTTAATTAAAAAAAAAAGAAGACGAACTGGTTCTAGCATGTTATTGATGGGCTGGTAAAACCTCTGAGGAAGTGACATTTAAGCTTAAATCTCAAAGATGAGGAGTCAACCTTGACACAAATAATCTAGGGGGGACACATTCTAGGCTGAGGGAAGAGCTTCTGAATACAAATCGCAAAGCCAGAATGAGCCTGCCACAACTTGGGGGCAAAGGCATTGCCTTCCAAAGCTCTACCGGGGTGCCTGCCGGAGTGCCGTTCCAGCGAAAGCAGGCACACACCAGAAAGAGAACATTTTAGAGAGGCGAGCAAGAATAATAAATCGCAGGGGGTGAACAGTTCCAGGCAAGATGGAAAGAACAAGGACTGATGGACTTTTATCCGAACAATCTGTGAAAATGGAACAGTAATTTAAAGGACTGGTGAGAAATGGTTTGGCTGGTGAAGATAAAGACTCACGACTTGTGATGCAGCTTGAAGCCCTAATGGGGTGTTCGCAGCCGCCGCCCTCGCTCCCTAACAGCAAACAGCGCCGCCTCTAGATCTCCGAGCTTGAGCCAAAGGAGAAGGGCGTAGGTAAGGAGGTTCCTATACTACGGCTTGTGCAAAGCTGACTGCCCGCAAATCCACGCGTGGGAAGCACCCAGGAAGCGACTGGCTACAGAAGCCGCTCGCAAGAGTGCGCCCTCTACTGGAGGAACCTCATGGTTACAGGCCTGGGACCGTGGCACTCTGTGAAATTAGACGTTGTCAGANAAAAAAAAAAAAAGAAAGTGACTAAATCATGCTCAGAGCTAGCCTTTCACAAACCCTTTCCTGATCTAACCAACTTCTGCATTCTGTCTATATCCCCTGAATTTCTGTTTGCCCTGTATTATTGCATACTCCCTGACACGTTGATGTACCAGTAACAGTATTCTCCAGCAGCAAGTTCAGTTGTGGGTTCCCATTTTATCTGGTGTCCCAGTGTGTTAATACTGAATACTCAAACATGAGCTCACATTTTGAGTTCACATGTCACCATTTTTACTTCTGATCCTAATTCAGTTGGCTCAGTCGAGCCTCTGAACCTTCCTGCTCAGTTTTCCCGCTTTTCTTTAGGGGTTTATGTCTGCCTCATCCAAGCTCGACCCCAGTCGGAGGAGCTGCTGCAAGGCCTCAGCACGGCTGACACCTCAGTCTACGCGTGGGCCTCGCTGGTCAGTGAGCAGAGCAAGAATGGAATACAAAGGGTCCTCATTCCTTTCATCCCAGCCTTTTACGTCAACCAGTCAGAACTGGTTCTTAGCCACAAACAAGACATCGGGGAGATAAGAGTACTGGGAGTGGACAGAGTTCTCGAGAAGCTAGAGGTATGTTAAGAGTTGAACAGATCAGTTTTGAAGAGAGATTTTTTTTATTCCCAGTCCAAAAGTAGAGGAAGTTTCTGAATGACTTGATAAAATTCACTACAGGAAATTTTTAAACAAAGTGAAGAAAATCTGTCCCTTTCACAATGCCAGGGGACTCCCTGTGTCCAAAACCTAGGTCATTGAGCTCTGCCAGTCTGGAAGATAAGACCAAAGCTATCTTAAAATAATCTTTAAGATTCTAGTTTAAAACTTTTTTGAAGCCTATTCTCTCAGATCACTTTTTGCCCTTATCATTCAACACATCTAAGTGTGAAAAAGTAAATGACTCGTCAGTTAGCTAGAACTAGAAATCCAGGTGTCTTACTGTGTATGTTTAAGATTGTAATGTGTTGGGCCGGCCGAGTGGCGCGTTGGTTAGGAGTTGTCTTGGGATGCTAGCTCTGAGCAGCAGGGCCCCAGTTCGGAGCCCTCATGAGGGCCAGTGACGCAGCGCCCTCTATAGCCAAGATGGCGAACAACAGCTTGACCTGGAGCTGAGCTGCTGTGAGTCGCCGGCGACAGCGTAGGCTGCAGTGGGGCTACAGTGGGCTGCTGTGAGCTGCCATAAGCGGCCGTCCAGAGGCCAGTGAGCGACTGCCTCCCCCGGGAAAAGTGCAATGATAATACCAACACAGGCCAGTGAAGCAATGTCCTCCACAACTAGACTGAAGAACAAAAGGACAGCAACTTGTCTGTTCCCCTTC